TTGAAATCTTAACTTGCATTTGAGTGCGCTCTGGACCATATAGTGAAGTGTGAGAGAGCCAATGTCTAATTCAATGTTTATATTCTCAAGAGAACTCTAGTGCCAATTAACCGATCCCGAAGTGATGGAAGACTTGGTTGAACTGGACCGCATTCCATCCAACATTATGTCCCGAATCGAGTGCGTGGTAAATGGCGACATTTGCCACCACACCACCCCAAAAAGCATGATCTATCTCGGAGCGTCCACATACTTTTGTTACAAGAAAAAATGTCAGCAGTAATGGACACTCCGGCTGGCAGGACCAACCATCTACACTTGAATCGCAGTCGTATTACACGGGGCTTCCCAAAAGTTATGGAAGCTTTTTCCACAAGAAATTTTGCTGAGCTCATGCAACTTCATGGTTCTACATGGCTCAGCGATCAGGCCCCTAATCGGCTAATCGTCTGAACAATTCGCTATCGCTGCAAGGATGGGTGGACTGTGTGAAACCTGTGGTTTTCAAAGGCGGAGTTTACCAAGACAGCCCATAAAAAATCAAGCTAGAGGTGAAGCGAAGAATGAAGAAGAAACCAAGAAAACAACTTGATCTCGAGAAATGGAACCCGTTGATTTGCGCTAAAAGGTGTCTAATTGGCGCTCATCTCACCAACGCTAACGTGCTCTCTGCTAGGCGGCAAGAGCCAAACAGCGAACGGTGGGAGAACGGCGCGACAATGGCCATACTAGATCGCTGTGGCATATCGCTGGGAATTGGCCTCCGGTCCGGTCCGCACCCTCTAATTCAGTCATCTTTCACTAAGGTACTCCCGTCTTTACCTCCACCTTGTCCTCTTAAAACCGTATATGGATCTCCATATCTTGGCTAAAATCCCCTCACGAGCCAGTCACTCAAATGCTTGCTCCACTAGCTCCACTGTGACAAACTGCTGACCAACGACAACTGTATCGCTGCCGCGATGAGCCAAGCAGTGGCCTCCGATGCACGAAAATGTGAATAGATGCTCTCAGAAGGTCAAACAGGGGTCTACGTCTCGAGGCATTCGGGTCTCCTCCTGCATTATTAGAGAGTAGCACTTAGCCTTCACCATGACATACCCAAATTAATGCTCACCAATGGGTAATTAGTAAGCACTGGCCAACAGTTTTTGTCGAATAGGGAAGTCACCAAAACGACGAGACAAATGCTTTAATGACAAAATCGGTCCAATCGCCACTCCTTCATAATCGCCTCCCAAACACGCCGGTTTTGATCGGCTCATTAATGGTGTACTGACTTGTTTCTCACTCAACCATAGCAAACCACCACAGCGATATGACCGGTGAGGAGAAGAAGTCAATATCCAGACCCTGAACACCCCGCAAAATAGGTACTCTTTAGTTGGACTGCTCCGACATATCCCGTCAGCACATCGGTATTATACCGCGAAGTACTCTTAATAACTAGGCCCATAATAGCAAATCATATATCAAAAAACGCGACTCGACGGAAAGCCATCACGATATTTGTTGTCCCCGTAATACCCACAAAGGAATTCTTAAATGTCCTTGACTCCCCATTATAATGTGGATAAGGACTGAAACCGTCCAGTCAAACGCCCTCGGCATCATAAAGTGAACACTGTATTGGATTCACGGCTGCTATTTCACCCTGGGCTGATTAACATTCCTTATGTTTCAGCTCGGGTACAAGATAGAAAAGACAAGTGTCGGATTCTCGATGAGTTGAATACTCTCGCCATCTTCCTTGAAAGCAAGGGTCAGTCCGCTTTACGAGTAAGGCCCTCCTTGCCTAGGTGCGCGACTGCAGGAAGTCGCGACACCTGCACCTCAAAACGTGTCAGTAAGGCGCTAAGCGCTAATTACTGGGAGATTTTGACGATCTCTTTCACCCTTTTCTCCCATTCCAGTTCGCATCCCTAACTTGATTTTCGAGTTGAATTACCGCATAAACTTGGTGATAAACCTTGCCTCAAAACTGAGCCGAATTAAGGGGATTTAGGCTAAGGGAGCGTTGTACTTTTCGTACCTTCGGGGCTGTGCCATGCTTGCGGCTGCAAAAGAACTTGAATCGTTTGTGGATTTCGATTTGTGGTTCCCATGGTGAAAATGGAGTTGAGGTAGGGGGTGCACTCCTTGTAATCTTGTCCTTAGTACTGTAGAGCAGTTCTTTGGACTCCGAACACTATGGATAAGAGATTAACGTAAACAACTCGTTTGGAGTGTAGTTTTGATAAGTGCCGCAAAGGTCCTACACCACACACTTCCTGTACAATTTTTGTACCTGGTCGTCTCTCTGCAGATCCACCTTAGGCCAAAGATGTAAACACCTCTAGTTCAGAACCGCTCCTTGAAGCATTGCAGGCCGATGCAGAGGCATCTCAGAAAGACAACGATATTTATCAGAAGTATCCTTCTATTTTATAAAGCGCTAACTTTGTGTGTCGGTTTGTATGTCTGTATGTGTGTGTATGTATGTATGTATGTGTGTCCGTCCGCAAAATGAAGTGAGTGAGAAGGAAGCTCATGGGATAAACAAACCGCTAACAAATCGGGTAGCTTACAGGATTTGAGATATCAATGTTTTGTAGCAGGATAGTTGTGATAACACTCTTAGGGCTATATAAACACCTGCTTAGCACACTTCCGTTCATTCCACATGGTGCTGCAGTGGCAGCTGGAGGGCAGTGGAGAGAGGAAGGGAGGATGAGGAAGGGAAGCGAAAAATCTACCGTCATATCATGATTGTGTCCCTTCTACTGTATGAAACACCATTGTGTTGCATACGCGTCACTTCCAGGTGTTGGTGTCACAGGAGGAAGGGACCATAGCGGAGGATAGAAAGCTTGCGCAGGAAAGGAAGGTCCCGGCGGTTGACGGGGGACTAATCTGGTTTTACAATAGTCGATTGCGTTTTCATGAGCGTTACATTCTTATTCTTTTCGTTTTTCAAAGACATTCACCCCGAAATTCATTCTCATCTATGTCGTTTGGTTATGGAGACTTAGCTATCTGCATAGTTGTGGGAACAACTGAAGCTCTAATCTCTCTACGCCAACATAATCGGCCTCCCAAGAACCGATCTGCTCACGTCATTAGATTGGACTTTTATTGAATGCGATGATAATAAGAATACAGCCGGTCCTAAAGTTGCAAATCGGCGAAATCAGTTGGATGATATCAGTAAATAGAGGGTTTTTTCCGAAGGGGATGATGGGGAGGAGGGGGGTAACATGCTTTTGTAATTTTTCGTGTTGCTATTAGGACAAGGATACGCGGTTACGTGTCACAACCTATTTCATTGGTGCTGAATCCTTTAGGCAGAGAGTAGGGCAAAGTAATTGAGGCGGATTTGTTGTATTAAGGGGAAGGAGGAATGCTGCTTTTGTTGTTCGGGCTACTGTAAGAAAGGGCAATATGTCAGAATTTATATCTGCTGAAACTTCAGGCAGTTAGCAGGACAAAGCAGTTTAGGAAGTAGATTGCAGAAAAAAAAGTTTGAAAATAGTAAATCTTCTGACTATCACAAGGGAGATAAGCTGCAATTTCGAAGAGCTCCGTGTGAGCTGTGGGAGTTCAGAGGCCCGCGGCACGATGCGGCCTGCCTGTGCTCCCTCAGCGAGATAGTGGGAGATCACACATTCCTGCTTCTAACGTATGTCTAGTGGATTGCTCCCCACGCTTGAATTGGACAAACTCGCCGTGCTCAAGGATTCTTCGTTTCACGTTCACGACATCGCTATCTCGCTGCGAAGACGAAAACAACCACGCGGCGCCACAGCGATTATCCTCGCTCAACTCTATAGTACCATTATGCGCTCTAACTGCTGCTTTTCTTTGAAGATTCCAGTACACTTTATGCTTGTTGACAGCTTAAAATATTAGGTTGTTGCAATATAAATATCGCTTCGAATCAATTACCAGGCGGTTCATTCAATTGCATGCACATGCTTGGTGATCATAGGTAATTAGCACCTGATGATCGCCACATTGACTGTTTCTCAGAGCGTCATCATTCACTATTCAGATTTTTTCTTTGGAAGTTTCATCTCTTACTCAAAAATGCTGAAACCGCCTGCGGTGCCGGCGCTTGTTGTTGGGCCCTACGTTCCCTGGAGGCTGTGAACAAACTGCGATGATAGTCGGCGGCTGTTTTTCCCTGTTTATAGTCGCCGAGCGCACAGACTCGCATTAGAAAATTTTTGGTTGCCTGTGACGAAATAACGCGTCTCAGGATGATGTGATCATTAGTCGATGCCTCGAGGTTTTCTCTTCAGAAGAATGCACTTTTTCCGTCGAAGATCAAATAAATAATTCCTTACTTTTGATAGAAATAAATAATTCCGAGGTAGTTGATAGGGGAAAAAAGGAAGCGAGCGACATTTAAATGCAACAACCTAATAGTTTTATTGTAATAGCTGATTGAAGGCTCTGGTAAGCATGACCGTTTGAGCGATGTTGTTCGTTAGCAAGAAGGGCTCACTTCGCGGGCTAGGCATTGCCATAGTTGACTACTCAGGGTACAGGCAAAGGAAAATAGGCTTGACTAAGCGAATACACGAGTAAATGAGATTGTGATTAGGTGAGTAGGACTGCATGCCTATTATCAATTTGGTTCACTTCGCCCTTGGAGCGACTTACGCGGTCGTCTGAACGCCCATTCGCCTACTCTGAGCATAAACATTACCTTACTATTACTTTTGAGGTGGAATCTCGAGTACTGATACCAGTAAATGAAAAAGATCTGGAGAAATGGAAGGAGGCCATAGTGAGGCATCAGCAGTACCGCAGAGCCTTCCTACGGTAGGTGGACATATTTTGGATGAGGTACTGTACAACAAACGATCACAGTCACAAAATAGAATAGTTTATCGAACAAGTAGCATTACTCTGATCGAAGCAATCAGGTCTTCTTCTCACTGCGAGCAGGACATGGGCAATAGTTTGCATCCTCGCCGACAACACCGTCTCTCCCAGGCGCTCCAGGTGTCCCGTCATCAGCGTTCTTTCCAGGGAACCCGGGTGGACCCGGTGGCCCCTGGAGGCCCTTGAGCACCGTCTTCACCTGGGTCTCCATTCTTGCCTGGCTCTCCTGGTGGTCCAGGCCAGCCTGGCGCTCCTTGTGCTCCTTCTTGGCCTGGAGCTCCGATGAGACCATCGTGACCAGGTTGTCCAGCATTTCCTTCCATTCCAGGAAGACCTGCATTTCCTGGGTCTCCGGGAGGTCCCGCCTCACCTGGTGTCCCGTCTGCACCGGCTTCTCCTGTTGTTCCCGGAGCGCCTGGATAGCCGGGTTCACCAACAGGCCCAGCGGGTCCATCTGGGCCAGGAGGTCCTGGAGGGCACTGAAGACATCCTCCAGGAATGTCGTGCGTGACGCTGCAAAAATTAGGCTTATTTGAATGCGAACAAAAATTATTGAGAAGCAACTCACACTAAGGAAATTCCACTTGCTCCAGGACGCCCAGGTTCGCCCGGACTGCCTTGTTCTCCACGTTTTCCTGGCATTCCTGGTGGTCCTGGTGGGCCAGGCGGGCAACCTTGTGAATCTATTCCACAGTTGCAAAATGCGTCATAAGATCTTTTCTGTCGGGCGACGATGGAGGTGAACGATTCCAAGGCATCAGAACGGCCGTGTTTCCCGTTCAAAATGACAAGGCGCGTCCACGCATCGTCCGATAATGTCTGAAATTAGACTTTGAATGGGGGAATAGGTTTGTAATCCGAGTTGGCACGTTACCTTCATCTCTTGGACCCCAGAGACGATCTCCTCTCGCATGTCGTCGATCTGTTGAACGATTGTGCTGATGGTGAAAAGCGAGCAGATCACAGCTGCGAGGGTCACACAGCTCCCTATCGGTACACCGTAAGACAACATATGAGGTGGGAAATAGGACGATCCGGGCTAGACAAAGTGGACAACGATAGTGGCCACGTCAACAAGCGCCTTTTATTCACAGACAAAACCGTTTTGGCCGTTTTTGAGAAGTAAACTGAAACTCAGGACCACTTTTTCGTCCAACGGCAATTCGATCGCACTTTTCGATCCGCATCGCTGCCTTCCTGACCCATTTGACTATTGAACATTAAGATCTTTTTAGAGTGTCGAGAGCCGCTTCTCCTACGAAGTCCATAGAATCGTCATCTAAAGGCAGCATCAAGAGCACATCGACAGCGTGAGACGAATGTTTCATTTCATAGCTGTTCTGACCTTAAACTTAAAGGAGGAATTCACGATTAGAATGAAGGTCGAAGAAAGGGAAACTGACCTAGTTGAGGGACCCACGGACCTCC